GTGTGTGTGTGTGTGTGTATTTATATATATATATTATATATATATATATATATATATATATATATATATATATATATACTTATATATGTATATATATATTATATATATATATATATATATATATATATATATATATATATATATATATATATATATATATTTATATGTATATATACGTGGTGTCCAGACCTATTTTGTGTTTGCTCCGCAGCAGTCAAAGCACCAACTTCACCCATGGCTACCAATGGGCCCGCAAGGTCAGAGGGGAATCTGACTGCATCCCCTAGGCAACAAGAGGTCAGCCAGGGGTCTTCCCTGGCGCTCTCTCGGGAAGCTATCCCGAACTTCTGTCCCCAGAGTTGCAGGGGACCCTCGGCCCAGGGAAACGAGCCCCCTGCCCAGGGTGACGGGCTCTCCTCCAGCCAGGACTATGGCCGGACCTCTGGCCAAGGAAGCGGGCCCCGCCGTAGTCCGGGTCAAGAGTGGACCCCTGCCCAGGGTGATGGGCTCCCTAGCGACCAGGGATATGGCCGCCCCTGTGCCCAGGGCGTCGGGCCCCTCCCCCACCAGGGTAAGGGTGGGGTTTGCAATACAAACCGTGAACCGTCCGAACCAGCAAACAGTGCGTGAAATCAGTATAAACAATGTAGACAGTGCAGACAGTGAAACAAACGATCAGATTTACAACTTCGGCAGCCTTACAATTGTTCTAAATACGATTTTGTGCTTCATTGCGACCAAAAAGTTGTGGGCTAGGATGTTGCTTTGTGAACAACTCAAAAAGCATTACGTTCCCGAGGACATCGCGGAAGCACACAATATTGTAATTGAACTGTCCGATGCAAGGCGACCCAGACTCACAACTCGTGACACGAAAAGAATGATCAATGTAACAGTGCATACCATACTCGACGATCTGGTAGACAATAAGAATATCATCTTCGCATCAACAACAACAGAGGCGCCAAGCGACAAGATGCAACCCGTCAAGGAATCTCGACGCCTTTCACAAAAATTTTCACCAAAACGAAAAGTGAAGGAACCCAAACACACACTGGCAGCTGACCCTACGTCCAGTGACTCGCTTAATGTGCTTCAAAACAAAGTCGATGTGTTAATGGAAATGCTTATGAAGCAACAAACAACCCTCAACAGTCTCTTTGAGAATGAGGAAGGTATGTCGTGGAGTTCACCAGCATGGAAGTCCGGTAGGTCTGACAGCATCAATTCTTTGTCCGACGCGTCTAGTCTCCCCCCCCCCCTCCCTACCAGATTCCTCCTGACAACGTAGCCTCCCCATACACATCTTCCTACCAACCTTTTCCATTCTGCTCTCCTATCCCTCCCCTTAATGAACCAAACTCACACACACCCATTGACACCCTCCCACCTCCCCACACCGAACATATGATCCCCAGCCCAGAACCTATTAAGAACCCTAGTCCTGAACCCCTCGTGAACCCCAGCCCCACGTCACCCTCCCCGGGTAATGCAACTACTAACCCAGTGCTACCCGAACCTGACGTCATCACCGGCCAGTGTTGTGTGGCACTGCAGGCGCGCGACCCTGCTGACGCAAGCGAGCCGCGCATACCACCTCGGCCGGCCCGGCGTCAAAATCCCCCCTCAAGACCCCCACATTCATCAGCAACAGAGAAGATGAGCAAAAAAGAAACACAGGTGACGCCCACGCGCAACAACACTAGAAATAGCAAGAGGAGAAACAAGCGGAACAACAGAAGGGAAAACGACAAGCAAGAAAACACAGTTCCCCCTCCACCAACCGCACTGAACCGCGAGTGGAGTGATGCAAAGTACCACTACGTGCCCGGGGTTCCCCAGCCCGACAGTAGTAACACGGCTCCTGTTGTGATAAATATTAACTACAGTCAAAACCATGTAAGACACGAAATGTCTAATCCAAGCAATGTGGATGCGGATGGGTTTACTCTTGTGGAAAAAAGAAAAAAGATAAAAGAAGACAAAATAGAACAAGGATCTACCGCTAAACCTTTACAGGGGGCAGCTAAACCAGACGTGTTGTACTTTTACATAACAAACTGCCACACAGACACTGAGGAAGCAGATATCGAGAATCACCTACTCGTTAACTTCCCTGAGGTGGACGATGTAAATGCATTCAAAACAAAAGTGAGTCATTCATATTATGCCAGCTTCACTGTTTCTCTTAAAGGCAGAGCACTTGTAGCTGATGAATTTCTGAAGTCAGATTCCTTCCCCAGCCCCGTGAGAGTCTTTTTAAATAGAAACAAGTACAAAACATCACAACCCGAGCAAGATGTTTGACCAAAATGACTCATCAACAACTGCGCCAGCTAACGTAAGACCCCGCAGAACACTTCCCAGCATTTACCTTGCAAATGCATGCTGCCTTACAAACAAAGTGGACGAACTTGACGTCATAATGAAACAAAATACTATCGATATTGCAATAATCACAGAAACTTGGTTCAAAGATGATACATTAAACATCGGAACG